GTACAGTCTTTCAGAGCCTTTTACTTCCATCCACCTCTTCCTTGGAGCCATGTGCATACTCTGATGCTGATCATGGCAGTGATCCCACAAATCGCAAATCTGTTACTGATTTTTGTATCTTTTTGGGTGATTCTCTTATTTCTTGGAAGAGCAAGAAACAATCTATTATTTCTCAATCTTCAACCGAAGCAAAATATCGTGCTATGACATCTACTACCAAAGAGATTGTTTGGTTACGTTGGTTACTTGCAGATATGAGAGTTTCTCTTTCTCATCCCACTCCTATGTATTGTGACAACCGGAGTTCTATTCAGATTGCTCACAACTCGATTTTTCATGAACGAAGTAAACACATTGAGATCGATTGTCACCTTACTCGTCATCATCTCAAGCATGGCACCATTACTTTACCCTTTGTTTCTTCTTCTTTGCAGATTGCAGATTTATTTACCAAGTCGCATTCTATTTCTCGTTTTCGTTTTCTAGTTGGCAAACTCTCGATGCTTGTCGTTGCTACATCGTGAGTTTGAGGGGAGATGTTAAAAAATATAGTGTTATTTTATTTATTAAGGGTAGAATAGTCTTTCACTTTCCCTACTTTGTTTAGCTTATATATAGTCTATTTGTATTTAGGTTAAATTATTCTCTTGTATTCAATTAAAATTATGCAGTATTAATAAAACCCTAGTCTCCTCTCTTTCTTATCTCTTGTATGTCTTTAGGTTGTTCAACATGATATACCGTAGGTTGCGAGGTGGGTTGAACATGTTCTTCCGTTTTCTTTGCTCTTATTGGTTGTATTCATTCGCCAGCACTTGCAAGGTAATCAAAGTGACCTTTTCTATTCTCACTCATTGTTGTTTTTGTGTTGATTTTCAGTCCAACGTCATTGTGGCTGGTGCACAGAGGCGACCAAGAAGATGGGATAAGCCAACAATCCCCCCTCACCTCTCTCTCGCTTTATTGTCGAAGTGGACACCCAACCTCCGGCGATCTCCACCTCACTCCGGCCGGCGTTGTTGATTGTAGTAGAAAGAGTGACTGAATTGTTCCTTGCCAAACAAAGGTTTGGACTGGATAGGAAACATAACCCATCCAATTAAGTGGTTTATTTGGGTTTGGGTGGGGTAGGTTAGGAAACAAAAAATGCTATACTTTCCTATCCTTGCTGGTTATCCAAACACACTCAATAAGCTTGAGCTTCTATATGGAGAGAAAGAGGAGACATCTCAAACAAAACGCATCATTGAACTGTACTGCAGCTGATAAAAAAAAAAGAAAAAACTGTCCTGCCGTGTAGTAAAACTAAAAAACAATAGAAAACAGACAACATATGTATAACTGGATCAGGCCGCTATAGCAACATCAACATGCACATATCAATACACAATGGACCTATTATTCATCACAAATTGAAACCTCCACTTAATCCCAATAAAGGACCGACATGTGTAGGCCAAATGATTCATGGTTTGTTGTCAGTTTCAGATCTTGAGAGAAGCCAGAAAGGCATGAGTGAACACAAATACTTCAACAAATTAATTTTTCTTTTTTAAATTTAATAGAAATAAGATAATAATTTATATTTAATTACATCTTATTTAATACTTAAAAGTTCATTAAACCCAATATACCAAAATTTGGTAAGTTTATTATATGCAAGCGACACCAAATTTTTATTTTACAAAATATAGGGTAATTAAAATCGTTTAGAATTGACTCCAATGAATTTTGTATTTAATCGGAATTGTGTTGATCTATATATTTAGGAAAATATTATTTAGACTTTAAATGTGGATTTAAAATATAGACTTAATTAATTATAATCATTAAATAGATAATGGATACTAATAAATGTTGACACACACAATAAAATCAATAACAATGATTGATTTCATTATGAGTCAAATTTAAAATTACGCGTATATTTAATAAGTCTAACGAATTTATCCATTTATTGAGCGAACCCACCGAGGCTAAGCCCAAACACAAACACACAGTTTTAAATTGCTCTCATGTCGAATTTGCATAGTGTGTTTAGGTTTGTTAGGCCTACATGTACTAGTCTACCCTCGCAGAACTCTATTAGTGGAGATCAAATTAAGCATTGTTTTGCTTTGATTATGCCTCGACACCCATTCGTAGAGGACAATCACATTCAATGACTCTATTTGCCCATTTCTTAATTGGTTTTATCATTATACTCCGGTTCTCTTTGGTGGTAAGAAACTAATGTGACATGATAGCTTTACATCTAAGCTTTTTAAGGGATCTCCTTTTTGTTTGAATATGATTTGCATCCAACTCTATTAGTCTGAATATGACGATAGATTTTTTATCTATGAATCCAAATTCAGCTTAAATTTATTTATTCTTCTCATTGTCATATAAAATTTTAACATTTTAATGATTTGATTCGTAATTTTACGTATATATGGAGTTACGTCAACCAACATTCATGAGTCCCCCAAAAAGAGGAAAAATGTACCAATAGATTTTAGTGATTACTAACATGTTGAAATATAATTAAAAAAATTATTGTTATTTTAGATCAAATTGGATTGTATAAATAATCCCGATGTCCATATGAGAATTGGTGACATATTTAGGCTCGATTCAAACGAGTTCTAAAATTTAGCTCGTGGTGGACTTTTTTGATAATGAATATTTTTAAACAAGTTATAATCCAAATTATTCCATATTATGTACGTTTAGTAACGTTTTCATTTTTATATTTTTTTTATAAACATAAATAAAACTAAATTTTATTTTTATATGATAAAAATTAAAAATATAAAACATGTTTGGTTTGGTAGTCATTTATATTTAAAAAATCGTAAAAACAAAAATAAAATATATGTTGGTCTTATAACAAAAATTAATCACCCACCACCACCAACCACCCAACTCCACCGAAACACTACCAAAACCCATCACCCAATTCCCCTGCAAAAGCCACTACCCACCACCAAACAACCCTCGAAATTCATCACCCAACTCCACCATCAACAATCCTTGAGAAAGGCGAGAGAGAACGAGAAAGGGACAAGAGTAGGGATGGCAGTGGAACGGGGGAAAATGAGTATTCGTCCAAATTTATCCTGTTTGGATTGGGAATGAATCATATGTATTAGATGGTGGACGTATATAAGAATACCTGTATAAACTTGCATGAGAATAGAGGCGGGGATGGACTGACACTTACCCCCGTCCCCCTCCCCGTCCCCCTCCCCGCCCCCCTCTAACCCGTGAGATATATATGTATAAGATCATAAACCCCAATCTCATTTCCAACCCACCTATAAATTTAATTTCAAAATTCAGTTCCTTACTTTTTTTTCTTTGTTTAATAAGGTAAGATCTATTATCTTTGTATTTTTTTTTATGACTTTTGTTAGATCTGTGATCCTTTTCGTTAGATTTTTTATGGGTTTTGTTAGATTTAAGGTCTGTATTATGTTAGTTATTGATGATTTTTGTTTCAAATTTATGGTGTGTTAGATACGAGGATTTTAGATGTTGCTTGTGCTATTTATTTATTTATTTGTGCTAGATCTACAATTTTCATGTGCTACATTTGATTTTTTGTGTTAGATATGTAATATTTTGAATTTTTTAAGTTTATACTACTTGAATATGATGTATGTTAAATTCTGAATATAGTGTTAGATATAATTTTTGCTGATTTTTGAGTTTATTTTATTTGAATACTGTTTTTGCTCTTTGAAAATTGTTTGATAGACTTTTTGCTTGAAAAATACTGGATAGATTTCTTGCTTACTCGGTATATCAAATACTAGTCTTTATTGATGAGAAGAATTATGTGGTAATTTTTAGTTGTTGACATGAGATTTTTTGGATTATTTTTTGGGCTTGGGCGCCAGGGGAAGGGGGTGAAGGCGGGGACGAGGCGGGTATTACAAATTTACCCATGAACAGAGATAGGGATGAAAACTATACTCGTTTAACAGGGGTGGATTGGGAATGAACAGAGTTCTTTTAACCGGCTACGGGGATGGAGGCTACACCTGCCGCCCTCCACTTCGGTCCGCTGCCATCCCTAGACAAGAGAGAGAGAGAGAGAGAGAGAGAGAGATAAAGAGGGAGAGGATTTTATACTCATGTAAGAAAAGTCATTTTTTTTTTGTTGCTAAAGAAAATCGAATCGAGGATGTCATTAAAAAACATCATTTTTAATGACATCATTTTTAATGGAGAGAGTGTGTTTTGCTTGTTGATTGTTTTCAAAAACATTATTTTGAATGTTTCTATATTTACTTCTTATTTACAAAACGTAGCAACAAACAAAAAAAGAAAACATTCACTAAATATATTTTTATTTTTTATTTTTTTCCTAAAAACTAAAAACAAAGACAAAACAAAAAAAAAAATTCCCAGTTATCAACCGGAACCTAAGTAACTCATTTATTTTGTAACATTAATCCCATCTTTGTGAACTCCACGTACGAATTAGAATCTTTTGACAATTAACGCCTATTCAACCAACTGTCATGCATCCATTGGCCATCAAAGATTCTACATGGCAAGATCCACACCTTATATCATAAAATCATCCTATCTATGGTCCAATTAATAAAAACTCAGATTTTATTCTTAATATTTGAATTTGAATCTTTACAATTACGATAATTTAGTGAGCGTAAACTTATTTTTTCAACACACAGAATATACGGTGAGACCTTAGCTTTAACCTCGGAGAAAGTGCAATCAAACCTCTACAACTTAGGAGTTTAAGAATAATATTTCTTGATGGATATGTAGACGGATCTATCTCTATTCTCGTTTAACCACGAAAAAACCAAATAAAATCTTCCTATGTGGCAATCAATAGGTCCCGCAAGATCTTCCAAACCAACAGAAATACACAAATAGATATGTGGATATGGAAGGAAGATAAGGATAAGGAACACTCACTCCCATTGGCTAATCTAAAATACACAAAACCAATCACAGCCGTTGGATTCCAAAAATCTAATAACAACCTGTCAACTTCCAACATTGAACCAGAGCCACAAGAACATCATTGAAATGAAATACAAAAGCTCAAACCGAACATACTACTTCAGCTAAGCTAACCATCACGACCCTTTCCTGAGTCCTACTTCTTCACCGGAATTTTGGTCGGAAATAATGGCCGCCGTCACAACACAAGCTTCCGTTGCCGTTTTCCGGCCATGTGCCTCCAAAACCAGGTTCCTCACCGGGTCTTCCGGTAAACTGAACCGAGAAATCTCCATTAAACCAGCAGCATCTTCATCGAACAATTCATTCAAAATCGAAGCGAAAAGGGGCGAATGGTTACCGGGCTTGGCCTCGCCGGTTTACCTTGATGGAAGGTAACAATTCTAACATATACCGTTGTTTTCACTTAATTGATATTGTGTTTAAATTGTGTAGTATTAAAGTTTACCCAATAATATGGTCTCATTTATAATTGTGTATAGCCGAGTTTAGCAACTTCTGGCTGGACATAGTCAATTTCTGTCAATCCAACCCATCCGACGACAACTCAATCCAAAAAATAGTTCAAAGATAAATAATAAATTTAAATGTCTTGAGTTTGAATTTTAACGACGTGGCCTACCTTTGATTAGATCAATGTGAAGATTAGTCGAAATTCATGTACATTAACCCGAACACTTCTAAAAAAGAACCCAACAAACCATTAGATCCATAGCCCCCTTATATCTTTATTATCTCCTTTCATATTGGGGTCAACTGTGGTATGAAAAAATTATTTTTATTTTTTGGTGTTATACTAAAAATTAATTTTTAGTACCATAGTGCTATGCTTTCATATTGACTATGTCAAGTGCCAACCCACAAATTAACTGCTAACTATTGACCTTTATGCAGTCTTCCTGGTGACAATGGATTCGATCCTTTGGGGCTGGCCGAGGACCCTGAGAACTTGAAATGGTACATCCAAGCCGAGCTTGTCAACAGCCGTTGGGCCATGTTGGGTGTCGTCGGAATGCTGTTACCGGAAGTGTTCACAAGTTTTGGGATAATCAATGTTCCCAAATGGTATGATGCCGGGAAAGCAGAGTACTTCGCATCATCGTCCACCCTATTTGTGATCGAGTTCATACTGTTCCACTACGTTGAGATCAGACGGTGGCAAGACATCAAGAACCCTGGAAGTGTCAACCAAGATCCCATCTTCAAGAACTACAGCTTGCCTCCTAACGAATGTGGCTACCCCGGTGGCATTTTCAATCCCCTCAACTTTGCACCCACCCTCGAGGCCAAGGAGAAAGAGCTTGCCAATGGTTCGTAACTGTTCTATTGAGTTGTAGTTTTCTATATGATACCGAACTTGTAACTGTTCTATTGAGTTGTAGTTTTCCGTATGATACCGAACTTGAAACTGTAGTCGGTTCCAAGGTTATATAGACTTGAACTAATACTTTGACGCATATGCAGGGAGATTGGCGATGTTGGCATTCTTGGGGTTTTTGGTCCAACACAATGTGACTGGAAAAGGGCCATTTGACAACCTCTTGCAGCACCTTTCAGACCCATGGCACAACACCATTGTCCAAACACTCCGTGGTTCGTAAACCAAATAGAGATGAAAAGGAAGATCTTGTTTGATTGTACTTTGTAGTAATGAGTGAATGGTTGTGACTGAGGTTTAAGCTTTTTTATTGTAAACAATGGGCAGCTTTGATGTAAATTGGAATTAATTAAGATGGCTATTATCAGTTCATGTAATTTCCACTTGATACCGGCCGTCCTTCTAGCTTGGTGGTTGTGGACCTAAAATTCCAATCCTCAGGTTGTGGCTTCGAGGGCTTGTAGAGAGGGAAATATGAAGTATTCTAAAATACCTCCCTTTAAAAAAATAAAATAAAAATTTCCACTTGATCATCAACAATATCGAGCTTATTTTCTTACATATTTGTAATTTTTTAGTTATTAATTTTTGAATTATTTAGCAACTCAGTTATTAATTTTTACTTTTACAATTATGTTGTTAAAATATAATATAATAATATAAGTCTAAAATACCATCCATAAACAATTATAATATAACAAACACACACACACACACACATTAGGTAGAAAGACAAAATTAGGTAGAAACACACACATTATATATTAAAATTAAAAATGTAAAATTCATGCAAATCAGGTAGAAAGACAAAATTTTTGTAGATATTTCACATTTTTATCCGATCTTTTGAGGAATACCAAAAATTCTTCCATTAGCCGGCTGATATTTTGCGGAAAGCGATCAATCGGGTAAGGTAGGATCGGGTAGGCGGGAATTTGAACACCCGTACCCTAGATCAAGGGTCCAACCCAATTGACAAGGCATAACTTGGGTTCTAGGCTCACCTAATATGCAATGTCCTTAGACGCCCACAACACACACACACAGTAACTACTAGATAGCAACATCACAAGACATCTAGAAGAACAAGTATCCAATAGAACAAATTGAAACTTACACCTGAAATTAGTCTATTTTTCTTTATTTGGATAGGGTTTTTTTTTTTTTTATAAATTTAATTTACATCTTGGTGAGAAAAAAAAAAGAAAAGAAAAAGAAAAAGAAGAATACAAGAGCATGCTATGAGTAACGAAGTAAAGATACAGAAAGCATCTAATTACATTGACGAAACTCAAATATGCATCAAGTAAATCTGAGACGTATAATGGTATGTGGTGAAATGAGCATACTCCCTCCTCCAAAGATGTCACCAATTCCATGCAATAACTGGAAATGAATCTGAGCATAGACAACTATCAAGTCCAAGCCAAAGTGCACAGGGGGGTGGAAATGTAGTATCTTGGCTATCATTTTCGGTCGAAGTTCATTTGGTTGCTGCAAGAAGACAAGGTATTATGAAGGAATAAGAACAAATTTACCTACCAGACTTCTAGGTAATTAGAATATAGAAATGTCAATCAAAGCAAACCTGATAGATAAGCTGAACCACAAGTCTCTTCAGTTAATCAAATTGCTATCGAACCAAATAAGTATGATCAATAGAGACAGCCTCGTTTTATGTACCTCTACTTGAGTTCAACTGCCAGACAAGTATCAAACAATCGTGTAAATTGATAACATCATATCTCATTATGAACACCAATTAATAACCATTTTGTTTAGAACCATGTTAGTCACTTTCATGCGAAAGGATGAATATTAAACTGCAACTCATTCTAATAGGACATTCCTCATAAGAATACAGCTTTACCAAGAGGTAATTGAAGCATATTCATTTTTGCAAAACTAATATGTTTTAAAGTTGCCTCAAAAAAATAATCACAAACTCTAAACAAAAAGGAATACAATAACTTCAAAACTGTCATAAGTGGCAAGAACAGCACAGCAACACAGTTGTACATACATGGTAAGAATATCTGTACTCATATCATGCAGCTTCTTTTTCTCCTCCTCTTCGCCCATAATAAACCCCAACTTCAACTCACTTTTCGAAAATAACATACCAGCCATAACTTCAATAATTGCTGCAAAGCCCCTAATTTTTTTAGCCACAACACATTTTACATTGACGAGCGATGTGCCACAATGGATTTTCTGCACACACATGTGATTTACATCCAGGCACATATTGGCATAGTAGTGAAACTTCAGAAGAACATTTTGAATGTATTGTAACACCATAGACATGTTCACAAATCCATGTAAATCATGTTCAACATAAACATGGGTCCCCTTCATAAGTTCTCATGCTTTCTTTTCTCCTTTTGTCACTCATGTTGTGATACGTTGTTAATGCTAGGAAGCATGAAAAATCAGAGCAAAGATTATCAAGTGTTCTTGCAACCTCATCAAAAAAATGTCACTATGAATGACTCTAACTTTGATTCGTACTCCCATGGAAAGAGCATTGGGGGAAAATAGGAAACCAATCATGGAGAGAAGAAAATAAATTGAGCCCACTTCAGTAATTGGAAAACCTACAAACTTGAAAAAAGCACCACAAATGAACAGAGGAAAGCTAACCTCTGGATATGAGTTTTCATTAAACATAGTGATAGGACAAGGACCCGATGCAGGTGCAGGGACCCAAGTATGGTGCACATGGTCGTAGATAGATCTAGGCAGTTCAAAATTGCTATGAACTTGATAATCCAAGGGATTTCCTAGCAAGGTCACGTCTGCCTCACTCTTCAATTTTTCCACTTCCGAAAAATTCAGGTTACCATATGAATGGTATGGATATTGCTCGTCAATTTGTAGTCTCAAGCATGCAGTATTATTCAACTCATTCAAAGAACCACATTCTTGTCTTGTATCAATATGTCCTGTATTTTCAATCTCTGTCTGTTTACAATTGCCAAAGAAACCAATATAGCTCGGAAGACAGGCACCTCCGGAGCCCTCCAAGTCTCTGCAGGGAAAGAATGGTCATCCGATGGATCACGAGAAGAGCAGAAGGAGATCTCAACTAAATTCTAGTTTAGCAACAGCATAAAAATATCTATATGAATTTCAACCTGAATTAATAATATCCCTGAAACTTCTAAACACCCTGAGCATAAGCTATATGATAATGACCAAAAAATTAGGGTTAAAGAAAATATCTGAGTTAGATATTGGGTCAACAAATTCTGCAGAGTGGGAGTAAAAATTTACTACAGTATCCACTAACCTTGGAGGCAGAAAGTTCGGTTCCTCGGGTAGTATTATGTGTTGATCATCATTATTGGGAAGCCAGGATAGGGATTGGCCTTCTTGGTTACCCCCCATTAACAAAGGCAAATGCATCCCATTCTGAAACTGTGATGCAAGATTAATGTCAACTAGATATTACTATATCAAAGGTAGAGAGAGAGAGAGAGAGAGAGATTTGCACCAGATCAATAAATTACCTGGCTATTGCAATCCAGTGGCAAAAGTTGGTGCTTTACAAAAGTTTCCTGCAAAGATGTAGCAGACAGGGTTAGCATTACAATTAATTAAGTAGATGTACCATCAGAAGATACTCTGATGTGTAAACCAGCAAGTATGACAACCCTCTGACTTCAAGCATATGTGTGGTAAATAGAATCTACAAATACATGGCCACTGACATCTACTAAACCCACTAATTTACTTGTATTTAAGTCCAAAGAATAGCCTCCCCAAAATGGAGAGAAGGTAGTCTACCACTTACCTCTCCTTACCCCCCACTTTGTACACTAAGCATGCTTATTCATTAAAGCATTCACTAAGTTGTATATTCATATATAGTACACAATTGATATTACACGTGTTCAAAGATCTCAAGACTTAAAAGGCATTGACCTATATAATGGGAATTTACAATAATAGATGAACAAAAAAATTAATATGCTGAAAAAATCAAAACTATTGTCATATAACTCCAGTTTGATAGAAATATCATACCTTGTGCATACGAATTTGGTTAAGGGATTCTCTTAGTGAATCTTCCATCTGCCTAAGGTGTTCAACATTGTCAACCTTATCCGGATTACACCAAAAGCTGAAGAATGACAGAATAGAAATATATTAAACGAATTTATTCAACATTGGTTTTAGCCAATTCACATATGCAAGGACCATGACATAGCAGGGAAACAATTCTAATTAGAAGGGAAAATAGAGTCACTAGGTAAGGGGAGAACAATTAAAATATCATCGCAGTGAAAATTTTACTATTAAAATCTATTAGACAGTCTGACGGCCAGTTAAGTCAATTCTATCTCCATCTGAATCAAGTGCGTATCAACCCACTTATATACGACTACTAATATTTCTGAAACAAATGCAGAAGTGAAAAGACGATGATAATTTTATACACACTGACCTTTTGTTGCCAATTAATAAAAATACATATATGCACTGGCCTTGAGCAAGGAAGCAAGGACAAATAATAGCAAATTTATGGGAAGAAACCAACATACACGCTATGTGATATACCGTTGTATCACAACAGGGAGAACAGTGAAGTAAAACAATATTATCCGACAAAATAGTTAGTCATTACACTTATTTAGTAAGTTGCAATAAATTAAATTGTAACAGATAACCTTAGATTAAAATGTATCGACTTATCCTGACATTTATTACATAGCTGTCTAGTGCTAATGTTATTAGCCAGAATAAATTAAATTGTAACAGATATAATTAGTAAAAAGTACGACTTATCTGACAATTAGCACATAGCTGACCATTGCTAATGTTATTACTCACAAAAACCAAAAACAAAAGGCAATACTTCAGCAACTAAAAGCTACAGCATTGCACCTCAGTCTATTATGTACTTCCATAATCTGCGCTTGCAATATCCTCATGTGGTTGCTCAATTCCTATTACAGAAAATAACATAACATATTATCGACAACAAAAGTTTAATTCTAACTCTTGATATAAAACCCAATATAGCGCTTAAAAATGGTGCACACCTCAACCGACTGAACACTGCAGGGGAAAAAAGAACGAAAAAAACCCAATCAGATCTTCCTCACGGTCTCAATGTTGTTATACAATATAAAATCAAATAATTACCTTTCACCCAAAAAGTCTTGTATATTTACATCATGGTCCAGCTTCCTAAAAGTTTTCTTCAAAGCCTATATTCTCAAAATGACACAAAAATATCAAGTGTAATTAGATCAATTTTATGCATTAATCAAAAAAAACCCTCCCCGTTGGGGCGGCCAGAGAAAGAAAAATGGGAGGGGGGGGGGGG